GGATGATGGATAGATAGATAGATAGATAGATAGATAGATAGATAGATAGATAGATAGATAGATAGATAGATAGATAGATAGATAGTGTGTAGGTAGGTTGTTGTAATCGCAATTGTTATTTATTATTATATTTTTATATAATAATAACATTAACAGTAATATATATGTATATTTATACCAGGTATACCGCAGTATCTCTATGTATGTATATGTATATATAAGCTTACATACATACATACTACTGATGCCATGATAAAATATTACCACGGCCACTGACCTCCAGGGATGTCTATTCGGTGTACTTGGTTGTTGAACATGGATTATTATTTGTCATCAGTTATTTTATATGGTCAAAGTATTTGTGAACCCTGTGAACTGAGGTAGCAGGGAAGTACAATCTTCAAAAAAAAAAGTGTCTCTCCAAGTACAAATGAATACAAGATATATAAAGCATTTTCAATTCTAAATGTATATTATATTCATACATTATATATCTGGATATTTTTCTTCTCCAAACAGTGACAGTTCGTAAGTCCGTCCATCCATCTATCTATCTATCATCCATCTGTCCATCTAGCCAGAAATCCCATGATGCACCACCAAAAAATATGGGTGATGGAATCTTCTACTCAGTCTGTATAAAACATAGACCTGTGTAGTTGTACACAACACTGATATACATGCAGGAATTGAAGAAAGACACTCACAGCACCAACCCCTTTCATTGACCTCCACTGTTACAGATATATGCCTAATCATTCATTACTTTAATCCTAACCTGGATTTAATCCCACTCTCAATGCACACCAAGTGTTAAATAAATGTCCCCACATGGATAGCTACAGTGTGTGTGTGTGTGTGTGTCTGTGTGTGTGGTATCTTTCCCCCCCGCAGCCCCCTACATACAAATACATACACACTGTGGGGGAGCGAGAGAGTTAGAGAGAGATTGGGGGGAGGGGGGGCAGGGGAGAGAGAGAGAGAAAGAGAGAGTCATAACTTGGCTTTTTGAAAATAATGCTCTTAGATCGTAAACTCCTCTGTTTCTCATCCATTCCTCCATTTCTTCTCTCTTCACCCTGCCCCCCCTTCTCTCTATCCCCATCACACTGACACATTTTTTCCAGTGTCTTGGCTTTACATCAGGACCCATCCCCCGTTGAATGCCAATAATCTTTCTCTCTCCCCCTCGCTCTCTAAACGCTTCTAAATGTGTACGGCGCTGGAAGACTGACGTTTTGCGTCACACAAACAACAACAACAAAAAAAAAGAAACAACACTTTATTCAGGTTTCTTCTTTCGGTGGAAGTTGGGGTCTAACTACGGTACCTGAGCGACACACGACCCGACGTTATTCTGCGGGCAAGGTGAGGCAAAGTTTGGATAAAGTTCGTGATTTGTATGCCAGCGGTTTTATTATTGGATTGAAATCCACGATAGGGACGCAATGTCGGGTTTTTAGTGTGTACGAATGTGCTTTTAAGGAAATTAGAGAGAAAAGAAGACCACAGTTCCTAACATGGCGCTTCTGGTACCTCGGCAGATGTGGTGATGACTAAATAGGGACTTATTCTCCTGCTTTTGTCAACCGCTGCTAATGCGTTGTGTACTTTGACTGTCTTTATATTGTGGAAATGAACCTGTTAAGTGAAATGCACGAACTTTAGCATACTCCATTGGACGTTTCTAGAAAAAAAAGTTCAAAGTCAGCATTAAATTTTTAGCAGCGAAATGCCAGAACTAATTGGCAGAGTGAATGGTGAACATATTAACAAACAACACTTCATAGAAATACAATTTACGTTTTGAAAGCACAACAAAATTGTAAAACTGACTATAGTTGAGCCAGAAAAGCATACACGTCATCACCAAATGGAATTTAAAAGGTAACACTTTTAATTAAATGCGCAAAAAAAAAAGAATGAAAATGAACAGGTTACGTTGCTGTCCTCGTATTGTTCAATTTACTGCAGTACGCCATATTGGTACGACCTTCAGCGTTTTAAGTACATCCTAGTAGTATGTCGAAACATCTATTTCTGAAATGGTTGACAAAAGTTGGACTAGACAAATTAAATATTTTTTACCCCCAAAACAGATTTGTCTCAATTGACTTTACAGTTTTAAAATTAGAATAAAAAAGATTCTCCTCCTTAAAAAAAACCTCATACAACAGGGAAAAATGGAGGAATGCATATTGGCTCGATTATTATTTATGCTCATAACATATAAGTATATACATATATATTGATAATTATTAGAGTCAATAACAAAAAAAAAACCAAACAAAGCAGAACAAGTTCTACAAATAAAATGGAAAACCAAAATCAATCATACACTGAGTAAGCATTATGCCAACGCCAGGGAGAGAAAAAAAAAACCCTTCCTTTTAAACAGGAAGAAATCACCAGCAGATCCAGGCTGTGTTCAGCTGTTTGCCTCAGCAAAGAGAGAAATGGGAAAATGGGGCTAACAGCAGAGGGGAGAAGAAAAGAGAGGGGGCAGGGAAGAAGAAATAGAGAGCTAGGGCAGACAGAAAACGCTATAATCGAACAAACGATCATACGAACCGTCCAGAGTGCAAACAGCAAATTGGTGGGGACATCTTTGTCCAAATGTCAGATATCAAAGTAACTGGGTTAAGATTTCATTCGTTATGAAAAGCAGCATGAATAATGACAGCAGTGCTAGTATTGACACTTATGTTATATATATATATATATATAGTGATGATGATTGGTCAAGGTGAACCACTACCAGCAAAGAAAGCAAAAAAAAAAAAAAAAAGACAGATCATTAGCCACTGTATGTACTAAGATTACTCGTAGTCAATTATTTGCTGACATCTTTAGAGCAACCTCTTAGTCCAGAGCAGTATAAAGTGATATACTGCTGCACATGGACGTATACTGTTGGATACAAAACAGTTTATTGTCCTCAGCAGAGTGGTTCAAATAACTGTTTATATCTCGCATTTGTACAGATTTGCTTATATCTCATAATTGAGTGTGCTTCGATTTGGCAGATCCCGGCATCCCCTGAATCATAAAAGCATCTGTAAGGACAGATGAAAGCACAGTATGAGAAGCTGTCATAGTAAATCCCAACCACCTGGTCTGCAATGCTGACCTCACATCTGTTGTGTTAACCAAAGATTCTCGGAACGTTTTTCTCTCTCCACTACTTGACCTTATTGTGCCTTCATTCAACAATTTTAAAAGCTTTATATGTATAAACATTGTCATAGCCAGTTCATGCTTAGATAAGTGGGTGGATGCATTATGGTTGAAGATGGCAACGGTCAGACGTCCAAAGAGATGCGGTAGAAGTAGTAGAATGCTGCTGCTGCTGCTGCTGCACAACACCACTCTACAACTTGTTTCTTGGTGTACATTTGGTTATTGTGTTCAAACCAGTAGGACCATTTTCCCTGTTCCAAAATTTTGGCCAAGCATGTATTTCAAATTGCTGTTGACATCTGTTAACATGGTTTGATTTAAGAAATACCGGATGGGTATTTTGAATCCAATTATGCAGAATGCATTTTTGGACTATTAAGAGTAGTTTCTCAAGAAGCTTACATTGACTAGCAAGGTTTAGTTCCTTAGATTCCCTTTTTTAATTTTTAAGTTGAAAATCCCACTGATATATGATTCCGATATCTAGAGTTTTTTTTTTTTTGCAATGAATATATGCTAAGTATAAAATTAAATACACCAGAAAATGATTGAATTAGTCAAATGATAAGTGTGAGAGTAAAAAAAAGTAATTGAATTAGTCAAATGATAAGTGTGAGAAAAGGTACATTTTCTATCCTGGTCCAGAGAAGTTAGTTATCCAACAACAATTCTTACCAAAGAGAATACAAAAATAGTATGTCTCGAAATACAAAAAGCACATACAAAAAAGACAAGTTTGAAGACTTACTGCCCTTCAGTAATGAACCAATAATTCTTCTTCTTTTTTTTTGTGTGTGTGTGAAACTTATCAGCAGAAACTTGGATAATTTATGAAAATAGAAAGAGCTGTAACAGTTTGAAAAGACAACGGAAAAAGCAAGTTTCAAGGTAAAATAACATAGTGTAATTCCCACCGCAGTTGTATATATACAGTAAGCCCTTCAACCTCATATTATTCACAGCCACGCAGTTAATGTGGAGCAGATTCGACTACAGGCCTCCAGCTTAGGGGTTTTGAGTCGCTTGTTTTTGCTCTGAATGTGGAACGTGTGCAGTTTTACTGTGCACGTTCTGGCTCAGATAACCATTAAAAAAAAAAAGAAGAAGAAAAGTAGAAGTCAGGGGATTTAGAGCTGTAACAGGAGGAGGAGTCAGCAGTGGCAGCCTGATGGCGTGACCACAGACCAGTTGTACTGTGATGAGGGTCTTGGAGTTTCTTATGTCGGTGGTTGGTGGGTGGAGCAGACGTGGAGACATTGCTCATTAAGATTTGTAGGCCTTCGCCTGGTGCCTGTTGTGTTTGTGCGGGATTATGGGAACGCTGTGACTCTCTGAAGACTTACACTAAGGTCGAGCTGCGCTAGACCCGGCGGGGTCTTTGTCCTGAAGGGATGAGATGTTGTGTCCCGTAAAGTACTGAGAGTGCAGTGGTCACTGTTTGCTCTGCCAGCTTTGAGATTAAGACAACCATTTAAGATGGTGGGTTTGCATGTGAAAAACAAATGGTCTTTGTGTCATGCTTGGCACTACTTTGACTGAAGGGCTGCTTAATGTGTTTTTCAAACTCGGAGCACTCAGAGCCAGTCCACCAGCTGTGACCTGCAGTCCTCCATTTTAATATTTATGAGAGGACTCTTTTTTTTCCACTTCTTTTTTTTGTTTTCCATCTTTCCAGGACATGTCTTTATGGATAAATATAAAATATAAAGACAAGATGTTACATTATTAAAGGGTTTTTTTTTAGCATTAGCATTAGCATTACTCTGTGAAACGTCGATGTTACATTATTAAAGGGTTTTTTTTAGCATTAGCAATAGCATTAGCATTACTCAAATCAGCAAACGCAGCATGTGAAACCCACAGTGGCACCTCTAAGGATACAAATACTAATTCTAAAAGGCAGAAATTGGGTCTTGTTTGTACGTCACACGTCAGCGTTGTAGAAATGAATTAAAAAGAATGTACGCGCAAAATGTGTTAGAGTCACTGCCTGCTCTTTGCCCCAGTTTTTCCCTTTGTTCTCTTTGGTGATGATTGAAGACAGAACCAGTGGGGACACACATTGATTTATTAAGAAGTTGGTGTTCTTTTGAAAAATTAGTAAAAAAAAAAAAAAAAAAAAAATTGAGCTCCATAGATTATGATTGTCAGTTGCTGTAGACAGATAATTATGAACAAGGGAGTTGTGGTCAATTGAGAAATAATGGGAAAAGCATGTTGAAATTCAAAGACAGCCCCAGTAAAGTGCTGACAACATACTCAGATACTTTTTTTTAATTGAACCCTTTCCTCTTGAACGGGTAAACAGAAGAAGGCCTACTTGCATAGTAATTCATAAATTGACAGTAGTACTATAATTGCCAGACTAGACTCACTGTGATCGTGTATAAAGTAAACATTTAGCTTCTGCTTGCCTATGAAAAAAAATTAAAGTCCGTTTCCTTGTCCTTAAATGATCAAGGGGACAGGCCTCAGAGCTTGTGCTTGTATTGGACAGAAATGAAGGTCCCTAGACTTTAATCCAGTGTTTTGCTAATGTAAAGGTTATAGTATGGGGGCGGTAGATTTGAACAGTTAAATACGTTTTTAAGTTAACCTTAAAATCACTAAAGGCTGATTTTGCTCCGTCTTCCAAGAAAATACGACAGACGGACTTTATTGGTCCTAAAATGGGAAATGAAGTAGGGTATGAAAAATAGCTGTAATGTTATATGTTGCTTGTGATTGCATGGATATGTTTCAAAACAAACATAGATGATGACATTTAGACAGAGGGGTTGAACACTAGCTTGTCATGCAGTGTTGGTTTAAGACAGTAGTTCTCAATTTATTTTTCATTATTGATTTGAAATACTATTGAGGACCTGATGATATGTATTTTCTTAACTGTACGAAACGTACAAAACACTGTATGAGTTGCTGCCCCCTAGTGACTGGAGGCTTGTTCATTGTCCAGCGTTACCATATTCCTTTGGAAGCCTCTCACGGTCACCCCACCGTGCCCGCCCTAGGGGGGCCCCCGCCCCACTAGTTGAGAAGTACTGATTTAAGAGGACTGATTATTCTTACTCAGACCAAACATGTTAGCATGGCTGTGTTTACAGCATTTTGAGTCGGTGACGATAGATGAAGAATGCCATCTTTTCATTTCCCATCATTAATCCTAAAGACCAGATATCTTTTTTTTA